CCAAAACCACATTAAGATACTACAAAGAAAGAGAATTACAGTACAGGTCAATATCTCCGATGAACACAGATGCTAAAATCCTCAACAAAATAGTAACAAATCGGACCCAGCAATATATTAAAAAGATCATACACCATGACCAAGTGGGATTTATTCCTGGGATGCAAGGCTGGTACAATATTCATAAGTCAATAAATGTGATTACATCACATAAACAAATTGAAAAACAAAAATCACATGATCATATCAATAGATGCAGAAAAAGCAGTTAACAAAATCCAACACCTATTTTTGATAAAAACACTCAGCAAAGTGGGAATAGAGGGGTCATAACTCAACATAATAAAGGCCATATATGACAAACCTACAGCCAACATCATTCTCAATGGGCAAAAACTAAAACCATTTCCATTAAAAACCGGAACAAGACAAGGATGTCTACTTTCACCACTCTTATTCAACATAGCACTGGGAGTCCTAGCCAGAGCAATCAGACAGGAAGAAAACATAAAAGGCATCCAAACTGGAATGGAGGAATAAAACTGTCATTCTGTGTAGATGACATGATATTGTACATAGGAAATCCTAAAGATTCCACTAAAAAACTACTAGATTTAATAAATGAATTCGGCAATGTAGCAGGATACAAAACACCCAGAAATCAATGGCATTTTTATACACCAACACTGAACTCTCAGAAAGAGAAACTAAAAAATAATCCCATTTACCACTGCAACAATAAAATTAAAATACTTGGGAATAAACTTAACTAAGGAGGTAAAACACCTGTACTTGGAAAACTACAGGACGTTGCAAAAAGAGAGAGAGAGGAAGATACAAATCAGTAGAAGCATACACTGCGTTCATGGACTGGAAGAATTAACATCATTAAAATGTCCATACTACCCAAATCAATCTACCTATTCAATGCACTCCCTATTAAACTACCAATGGTATATTTCACAGATCTAGAACAAATACTTCAAAAATTTATATGGAACCAAAAAAGACCCAAATAGCTGCAGCAATCTTGAGAAAGAAGAGCAAAGTTGGAGGGATCACAATACCAGATATCAATCAAGCTATACTACAAAGCCACTGTAATCAAAAAAGCCTGGTACTGGCACGAGAACAGGTATATAGATCAATGGAACAGAACAGAGAAACAGGAAATGGAGCCAAGCCATTATGCTCAATTAATATTTGACAATGGAGGCAACAGCATACAATGGAATAACGATAGTCTCTTCAATAAATGGTGAAGAAATTTGACAGGCACATGCAAAAAACTGAAACAAGACCACCAACTTATACCATACACAAGAATAAACTCGAAGTGGATAAAAGACTTAAATGTAACACATGAAACCATAAAAATCCTAGAAGAAAATGTAGGCAGCAAAATATCAGACATCTCACGAAGGAGAATTTTCACCACCGATACATTGCATAGGGCAAGAGAAACAAGGGAAAAAATAAACAAATGGGACTACATCAAAATAAAAAGCTTCTGCACAGCAAAAGAAATCAGCATCAAAATGATAAGGGAATCCACTGCCCAGCCAGTGTGGCTCAGAGGTTGAAGGTGGACCTATGAACCAGGAGATCACTGTTAGATTCTTGATAAGGGCACATGCTCAGGTTTCAGGCTCAATCCCCAATGCCGGGGTGTGCAGGAGGCAGCTGATCGATGACTCTCTGATCACTGATGTTTCTATTCTCTCTCTCTCTTTTCCTCTCTCTGAAATGAAAAAGAAAAGAAAAGAAAAGGGAATCCACTGTATGGGAGAACATATTTGCCAATGATACATCTGATAAGGGGTTAATTTCCAAAATATATAAAGTACTCATACAACTCAACAAAAAGTTAAGACAAACGAACCAATTAAAAAATGGGCAGAAGACCTGAATATATGCTTCTCCAAAGAGGGCATACAAAAGGCCAACAAACATAAAAATATGCTCAAGGTGACTAATCATCAGAGAGATGCAAATTAAAATGACAATGAGGTATCACTGTGTATACACCTGCCAGGATGGCTATCATCAATAATCAACAAGTAATAAGTGCTGGCAAGGATGTGGAGAAAAAGGAACTCTAGTACACTGTTGGTGGGAATCCAGACTAGTACAAGCACTATGGAAAACAGTGTGGAGCTTCCTCAAAAAATTAAAAATGGAACTGCCATTTGATCCAGTGATCCCACTTCTAGGAATATATATTAGGCCTCCCCAGGCCTTCACCACAGTATTGTCTGTGTCCATGGGTTATACATATATGCATATAAGTTCTTTGGTTAATCCCTCCCCCCTTCCTTCTGAAAATCGTCAGTCTGTTGCATGCTTCCATGCCTCTGGATCAATTTTGTCAGTTTATTTTGTTCATTAGATTCCACATATAAATGAGATCATGTGATACTTGTCTTTCTCTGACTGGCTTATTTCGCTTAGCATAGTAATCTCCAGCTCCCTCTGAGTTTTCTCAAAGGGTAATAGATCTTTCTTTTTTATAGCAGCATAGTATTCCATTATGTAAATGCACCAGAGTTTTTAATCCACTCATCTCCTGATGGACACGTGGGCTGTTTCCAGATCTTATCTATTGTAAATAACACTGCTATGAACACAGGGGTGCATATATTCTTTCTGATTGGTATTTAGGATATATTGGTGGTTCTAGGAATATAACCTATGTCTGTTCCATGACATAGCGTGTATCACTAGGGGAGAAGGTAGGAAATGAGGTGAGGTGAAGAACAAAAGTAGACTAAAAGGCCCTTGAACAGGAAGAAGAAAAGAAAGACGGGTATGGATTCAGATGAGGTGGGAAAGGGGTAAGGAACTGATGCTGATCATGCCTGATAGTTTCAATTTTCTTAATTAAATAGAAATGACCCAGGCAGGGCGTGGCTCAGCGGTTGAGCATCGACCTATGATCCAGGAGATAGAGGTTTGATTCCCAGTCAGGGCACATGCCCAGGTGGCAGGCTCAATCCCCAGTCAGGAGGCAGCTAATCAATGATGACTTTCTCAACACTGATGTTTCTGTCTCTCTTCCTCTCCCTTCCTCTCTCTGAAATCAATAAAAATATATTTTTAAAAAACACATTTAAAAAAAATTAATAGAAATGACATCATCCTCTAAAAGTGAAGGAATAGTGATTGAGAAGGAGGACTGAGGACTAAAGAAGCTGATGAAGAACAAATAAATAACAGCATTTTTAGTGGCTGAGAGATACAATAAAGGACAGAGGTATAACAGAACTGAAGATGCTGGTGAAGTTAGGATAGTTAACCATTTGATAGAAAATTTTTAAAAAAAAATGGATTGGAGATCAGGGCTCTGTAAGGTCACAGAACAGCATTAGAGAAATTAACACAGAAGTCTGATGAATAAAAAGGTTCAACAGAGAGTACATTTAAAGATCCTCAGGTTCCAGGTACTGACACCATCCAGAGAGTGGCCTTAATGCTGGGAGATTAAACAGGGCAGAAGTGGAATTAAATTAGGTTGAAGAACTGCAAGGTCAGTCTTCAGTGAATAAAGGAAAGTGACTAGGAAGTTGGAAATGGCAGCAACTGAGGAGGGGTAGATGGTGGTGCAGCTAAAAGGCAGATACCTCAAGAAGGATGTTTCTGGTAAAATGAGAGACAGCAAATGTTTTAGTGAGTGAGGTTGAGTAAGTACAGGACCCTGTTTACAATGGAATGAAATTTAAAGGACAAAAAAACTGGGTGGTGACAAGGAGGAGGAGCAACACTGAAGGTAACACAGGATAAACCCAGGAATTGGATCAAAATTGGGGAGTCTGCCTTTTGTGGATGGCAAAGACTCACTCCTGGGGCTCATAGGACAATGGCTGAAACTGCCTCGCCTCCGATACTCGATTATGACACATTTTGTTTTGATCCAAGAAGGGACTAAGGGTGCTGTACAGTACTTAGCCTGGACTCAGAAAGTTGGTGGAGGCTTTGTTACAGCAAAGACTTAGATGTGGAATAGATTAATTCACTCATATAATCTATAATAATTTGGGGTCTCTCTACTGATTCTTAATACCTCCAACATAATCCCTTGTATTCTATGAAAGCACTGAGCTCCACAGATTCTAATCTTAATACTTTTCTACTCTACTACTTATGATTTGAGGAATTTAGTGATAGTGTTTCCAAGAACCACTTACTATAAATCTTTTACATCCATCATTGTCTAAATTCTACTTGATACACCCTTAGAGTGTGCTCTCTGTGTGTATATAAATACATTATATAT